TGCTGTAACTGAAGCTGCATACATTGCTTTTATAGTCTATGCCCAAATTTTAGTAGGGGACACTGAAAATGAGCACTTTGGGAATGTTTTGGCTCCAGATTTATGATTTTTCTCATCTGGATTTGCTTTCACTTATAATGAAACCAAACAAAACAATGGGAAGGAAGCAGAGGATGACTGGGGTAATTACATTCGAATCCAGTTTTTATAGCATAATCTCTGCTTTTTCTGTTTCTGTTTGGTTTCAGCCTACTGCTTACCAACCACCATGCTTAAGCTTATGGAAGGCAAGATGACCTGTGGGCCTGTTCTACCCCTCAGAAATTACTAGGGATGGAGGTTAACTCTCCTCTAGTGTACACCGTGTGCACACTCCAAGCAAGGTGCTTTCATAAGCACTTCTGATGAGTTTGATTTTTACAGCTTTAGTTGTTGTATTACTTGCATTTGACAAGTGGGGAAAAGCTAGGAAAGAGATCATGTAACTTGCCCAACACAACACAATTCCTAGGTACCAGGTCTGGGACTTACACACAGCAATGTGGCTCTACAATGCTTGTTTGCAACTAATGCAGTATGTAACCTGTCATTTTGGCTTAAACTCACTGGTTTACCTAGACAGAGCTCTCAGTCTTGAGGCAGTTGTGCCTTCTTTTCCAATCCATATGTTTGCATGGTGGCATCTAGAAGCCCTTTCTCTAAGGCCTAAACATTCTAGCCAGAAATCACAGGGCCCCTGGAGGGTACCTGACCCAATTTAGCCAATCTGGTTTTCTTTCCTGAGACTCTGCAATTTAAACTGAGAGCACTGTTGGAGTTGCTAGGTTTGTATGGATCAATCTATGGTTTGTTGATATATTTTTTTAAAGTTTCAAGTAGATAAAAAAAAATGAAACCAATCTGAAAGGATAGATGAATGATCGACACACAGGACCCAAGCAAAGAAAAAGCAAACCAGTCAACGGAATGACAGAATGAGAACTGCTCCTGCAATATGGAACTCCTCGCTTCAGGCTTACTCTGAGATCCTGCCCCTGGGCTCATTGTATCACTCATGGGTCCTTCAACTTTATTCCCCGTTTTTACTTCAGCCGATTCACTATTCTGACAAACACACTAAACCTAATCATTTAATAATGGCAAACATAATATAACCTTACGGAAAATAAAAGTATCATGAAAAACTGATGGATGTGTTATATACATTATGTTCTTACAAATATGCATGTAAATGGTATAAAAGGACAATGATGAGATGATCATCTCTACCAACTTTACAAATTCTAAGTGATTTTCAAAGCCCAGCTAATGCTTCCGGAAAAAAAGACTTGGTTTTGTCCAAACTTCTAGTGATTCTCGACATCTGTCCCAAAATGCATTGAATCCAAGATTCTGCTTATCAATTAGACTCGTAGCAGTGGTAGCAATTTGTTCAGTCTTTTGGAATAGTGCTTGTTGACTTGAAGATTCTGGTTGAGGCATCGTGGTTAAGTGGTTAAGGGTCTGGGATTGATTCCTGCCTCCATGTTGGATCTAGCTTCCCGCGAATGCACCCTCTAGGGTGCAAAAGATGATGGCTCCCGTTTTTGGGTCCCTGGCACTCATGTGAGACCTGGATGGAGTTCCAGGTTTGGCCTGGCCCAGTCTCAGCTGCTGTAGGCATTTGGGGAGTAAACCAACAGATTCAAGATCTCTTTCCCTAGCTAGCATTTTAAATACAAAATACAAAACATTTCAAATGCAAAAACATTACAAGTCTAGATTCTAATCTTTTATATGTCTCATTTTAAATCTCCCTACTAGTTTTACTGATTAAAGTTCTGATTTCAAATAAACATCTACAACATAATCATGTTGACTAGAAGCTCATTCTTGACTGTTCCTAAAGTTTCTCTAATACTCCCTACATCACTACTCCAAACCAAAATGTAGCTTCATTACCCCTTTGGATGAGCTAGAATTTGCAAGATAAAAGTCACTTCATGCAGTGAAGGTAAAATCAGCTTGGAAGGTATAATGCAAACATAAAATCTAGAGTTTAGGAAATACAATTTCCACTTAGCTTACTCATCGAACTTTACAATTTAGATGTTGCTTAACAATCCTCAGTCTAAGTTCTCCGCTACACAGAGTCCATTTTTTTTTTTGTTTCTGGGACAAGTGGACTTTGTATTTTCCACAGTTGTCCTTGTTCCCTGGCTGGGCAGCTTAAGAGTTACCAAGTTCATTCTAAAGCTTTCCTGTGTTACTCACATTAGTCTTCCCGCTCTAACTTTTTATGGCTAAACAGCAGAATCGGTATTTGTGAAGTCTTTTGTGTAAACTCTACCATTTCTCTCACATCACTTTGTTTCATGTTTACTTAGGTGCTTTTCTGAAAGGCATATCCCACTGGGGAAATGTGGGCAGTGGAAACAGCTGAGCTGACTTTGGGTAACCTCTGCCCATTTTACACGGTTCTGTGAGAAGTAGACACAGATACTACAACCGATCTTAGCCGAAAGGCCAGGAAGAGATAGAGAAGTAGATACAGAATACACAAAATACTTGGCACAGCACCTCATGTGTAGTAGATATTAAAGAAATGCAAATAGAGTTATTTTTAATTCACTCCCCCATATCTCACTTCTGGAGTCAAATTACCTAGTTCTTGTTCTATATTTCTTATCTTGGGGCAGAAAAAATAATTTTTTTGACAGGCAGAGTGGAGAGTGAGAGAGAGAGACAGAGAGAAAGGTCTTCCTTTGCCATTGGTTCACCCTCCAATGGCCGCCGCGGCTGGCACACTGCAGCTGGTGCATCACGCTGATCCGAAGCCAGGTGCTTTTCCTGGTCTCCCATGCAGGTGCAGGACCCAAGCACTTGGGCCATCCTCCACTGCACTCCCGGGCCACAGCAGAGAGCTGGCCTGGAAGAGGGGCAACCGGGACAGAATCCGGTGCCCCGACCGGGGCTAGAACCCGGTGTGCCGGCGCTGCAGGCAGAGGATTAGCCTATTGAGCTGCGGTGCCGGCTGCAGAAAAAGTTTATCATGCATTTTCCATCTCATTTTGCCTGTCAGTTGAGAACTCTCAGAAAAGAGCTAACACTCAGTTGACTCAGAGTGGGAAACCTACCATTCAACCTACTTTTCTTTCCTTAAAACTTTAACACTTGTCCAATGGAAAATTCCACTCTTTGCTACAATGAGGGTAAATTTGCCATGCACACTTAATCACATAATCACACACACACACACACACACACACACACATACCATCTCCAGGCATCTCAGATTTGATTCAGTCTTTTGCTGCCAACAGACAAATGTAAGACTTTTCCAAGACATACTTTATTGAGCAAACAAAGAGGAACAAAGAATGAAAACCTTACTTCTCTGCCACTGAAGCAAACTTCAGCCAGACCATGCTGAGTAGGAAGGGCCTTTATTCCCACCAAAATGTCGTCTTTTGCATGTCCTCTTTGCCTACTGAACCCAAAACTTCCAGAGCTGGTGTCACAGAATGAATGGCATCTTAGAAACAGCCCTGGTAATACACGATAAAATTCACCAGCACATAGCAAACAACTATTTTGTTGGCTACTCATTTTGCCTGAGAATTAACAGATCATTCCATGGAATAGGATAAAGTTACCTGTTGGCTTTGAGAAAGGTAAGAAATCTTGCTATGGGAGATATATGCAATTCTTGTAGAAGAGGAATGGTGTGGGTACATCTGTGTGTCTTCCTGTTCCAGTGTGTACATGTAGTATACATTTAGGAAGGCATATGTTGCCAGAGACAATCTTGACATCTGGTAGTAGAGAACAAGGGGATTCCTGGGAGAGGAAGGTGACTCTGGTGAAGAGGGAGCACTATGGTGAGAGGCCCTTTTCAACTAGTCACTAGCCTCCTACCCAAATGACCACCCCACCCACCCCACTTCTTTTCCTTATGGAGTATTCTGTATTCATTTTGCTGTGATTGAAGACAAAGTAACGCAACTTCAAAGAGGCACACTTGTGTTTCATGTGTGCTGTGAGGCCAGAAGATAGGAGTTCTCACATAAAATAACCCGTCTGTGGCACAATGAAGATGTGAAATATAGATTGCACCTATTGCCTTCACTTTTGTATTAATGCATTAAAACACATTTACCACTCAAATTATCCTCTGGATCCTGTTTGTTGAGGAAACATAATATGCCTAACTTATATGCCAGGGACACATCAAGATTTCACTGGCCTTGTTTTGATAAAACAAAAATTACATGGGAAAAGAGATAGACAGGTACAATAAGAGGTGGTGGCACCTCGAAAGCATCCTTTTGGTTTTTTGTTCTTTTGGTCATTGCATTCCACTTGCCAGTAACTTATCAGCCAGTGCTAACAGATCCCACCAAAATGGGGGGGGGGGGCAAGTCTGGAATGTGAGATGATAGAAGGTGGGGATGACTTGTTTTCCTTTTTACCCTTCATTTTCTCCCAATGCTTATCACAGGATTCAGTGACCTCTCTCTGAGGTGCTATAGCCCCTCAGGGAACAGGTCATTGGTGGACAGGATAGCAACTGAGTGAGCTGGTTACTCTGTACTTGGAGGTCCACTGTAGTCCAACTAGCTAGATTCCATGAGCAGAGGAAGGTAGCTCACTCCAACTCAATGCTCCCATGCAAGACAGTGAGCTCTGGAATATGGTGTTCCTGTTCAACATCGGTGCTTTGTATCTCTTGCAAGAACACATTGGATAGTGATTCTGCCCAGTGTATTGTACAGGTTAATCGTTCTTCATTATTGTAAACCTTTGGAGACATCACAAGTGTCATGAACTAGGATTTCCGGTTATTTGACCCTTTGAAATCTTAAGATTTATGAACTTTCACCTGTTTGCCTTCTTGAGTAGCTCTAATAAGCTGAATATGGTTTTCCCCCTCTTCATGTAATTCATGATCATTCTTATAAATATGAAACCTAAGACCTTGGGCAGATTTTGTTCTCCCTCATGCAGTTTTGTTTTTTCAGACATAATGAGACGTGGGTGGTGTATGTGATTACCGAGGACCCATGGAGCTCCAGATTTTTACGATTCTCACATTTATGCAAGTGCAAGTAAATCAAACACTTTTTTACTTATCTCAATACATGAACTCTATTCCCATCTTCTGAGAAACACACAGAAAAGCTTATTAAATAGAATCTCTCAAAAGCCCAAAAACAATTTTGCCACTTTGGAGAGGTCCCCCCTCCAAATACCAGCCAGAAAGCTGTTTAATTTGATGGTTATTCTTTGTCAAAACCCCACTGTTTATTCAGATTAATTAAAAATAGTTGTTCCAGCTGCCACATGGTAGAACTGCTTGTAATGAAAATGTCTGCAATCTCGAATTCATCAACCTACATCTGATCCCATTCAAGAGTCTTTAACCTTACTCTGCAAGGAAACAGAACATCCCAACCTGCCTCAGAGCTGTGTCAGACAGAAAACTGAATCCTTATAAGCGGGCCCTTTATTGTAGAAATCTCGTGGCAGAAAGCTGTTAGAGATAGCCCCCATAATTGAGATTAACAAATTGATGGGTCTAGATTAGGCCTAAATTAGGCAACGGGAAGTCAAACTGAGCCGTTAAATCTTAAACTCATTTAAAATATCATCTTCTAGCAAATGATATTTTTAAGTGTTTTGCTTTTGATTATCAAGAGTCCTTATGCGTTATGGATTAGTAGATGGTATCATTTCTCAATAAATACAGATGGTTAATAAGAACATAGCTGTTTGATGAACTAAACCTAATTTGTAAAAATCTTCCAGGATCAAGTATTAGCTGAAGTCAAGTTTTTCTTATCCCAAAATAATCTCCATATAATTCAAAGTCCACATTTAAAAGCAGAAATGATTCATATCTATAGTATTAAAAATTGGCTTCTAGTATACACAAAACCGCCAAAGAGAAATGGAGAGGAATATATATTCCACCTCTATATCAAATTGGAAATGCATCTTAGTCGCTATAGCATTTCATTATTGCATGTAGATGAACTCAAAATAATCCAGACAAAACCATTTTTGTCACTACTTCAGATGCTTATAGAATTCCAGCTTTGATTTTAAGGATGAAACATTTTGCTAATTAAAGGGTAAATGGCTTTGAGCCTTCCCCATTACCACTGCTTTAACCGTCAGTTCTGTCCTTGTCTGAACCCAGAGTGTTATTTGGAAGACATTTGTTAAAGTCAAGCATGTGTTCCAAGTTTGACTCAGCTTTGATTTTCACGTTTTTGTTTCCCAACTTGCCTATCTTAGTGTTTGCTCCCTTTCTCTTACTGATTCCCAGAATAAGTGTACCAATGATTCTTCTCCTCTAAATAGTTAGAGATGAAAATAAATGAACTGTGCCTATGCCTGGGTCACTATTCAGGCAGAAATACTTAAAGCCAGACTCCTACTGTGCCACAGAGACTTAGGGAAACGTAATGGAGCAGTTATGGGCACCCGTTTATTAAATTGCTGTCTTCCTCGGCTGTTTTTGATTTTGCAAATGCTATTTTTTAGATTGTCACCTTTTTCCCCATGTCCTTTTCCCCACCAGTCTTTAACTCTAATTTGTCCTTTTTAGGTATCACCAGTGTTCTACCTATGAAATCTCTGAAGAGACTGATCTGTACAAAAAAGAAAACAAACCTTGATTTTCATTAATAAACTCTTAAAATGGACTCCAGCATGCTCAGATTTTTTTCTAAGAAACACACTGATCAGCCATTGTTCTCTTTCATAAAGGTAGATACATTCAGGGGCTTTAAGGTTCTCATCAACAATTCTCAAGGTTGCTGCATTTTAGCATCTTTGCTGCCTTTCAGTTCCAGGTAATAAACAGCCCCTGTCGCTCCGTGCTCCCAGAATAGGGCAGGCCTTCCTGTCCCACTTATCTGCATTCTCACTGTGTGTGGGAGTTCACTATGGTAGGCGTTGCTCCAAGAAGGATGACAAACCCCGGACCCCTTGCCAAGCAGCCCTTTAAAATAGAAAGGTGGGCTGGATTATTTTTATTTTAAAAGGCTCATTTTTATCCTTGGCTCCTATTTATCCGTCAGGGGGTCATCCCACTTTGCACAGCATGGGAGACCAGTAACAAGCATTTGACCAGTTCAAGAGGCAACTGCTTCACACAAGGCGGCTTCTCGCAAGAAAACCATTAAAGCACATCAATCCTGACAGCTGGGTGGACACCCTGAGGGCTGTGCTGTGGAAACCAACTTCCGCATGTCTGCTGGCTTTCCGGGGGCTGGTGTGGCTGCCTGTTTAAATGAGCATGGAATTTCAGATACTGAAGTGGGAGGGTGCTGTAGCGGGAGGCAGGGTGGTGGCCAGCTGGTTTAACAGCTACCTAAACAGTCTTAAGCAATTTGGTGATGGCCTGGAAAGTTCCATTCCTAGAATTATGACCCAGCCAGTTTGCAGCACAAAGTCAACATACAGGAATTGACCCTGATGTTTGCAAAAATTTAGAGTGGGTTCTGGTTACCAGAATGCAATGGCTTGCAACCGAGTCACCACGTTGGGCATTTTCAGCAGTGCAATGGGACATCACTCTGAAGATCAAAACTCCCGTGGTAAAGCAGGTAAACCCACTAATGCCACTCAGATTTTACACTACTTTACTCCTTATTCTTCCTTTCCAAGCCCTATCCATGTATAGTATATTCAGCCTTGGAGAATTTCAGCAAACTGCAGCAACTGCGGCCTCAACACCTCCCATTATCAGTGTCAAAGTTTTGGCTAACAGGGAAGGATTATTATTGCTGATATATACTGAGAAAATGTACAACCCTTAGACTTCTAGATAAAATTCTCAAAAGCTAGGGGGGCAGAGTGGATCACCAAGGCCTCACGAGGAACCTGGTAACGGTAGGGTCCTATGCAGGTATGAAAGGAAGATGTCCGCTTTGCCTTCTCCAGATTTGTTCAGATGAACTGACGTTAACAGGAGAAAAAGCACATGTGTATTAATGTGCACAGAGGCAATCCCTGGACCTGTTGGCCTAACACAGCTCATAAGCTTACATACTGCTCCACATAGTTATCTTATGGTATAGCCTTGCCCTGCACTAAGAGTGAGAGTAAGTGTTTAGGGGGCTTTTGTGGGCTTACTGTGGTCTGAGGCACCATTGGGCTTGCAGAACACACTGTAATTTGCCAAGAATTCTATTTGGAATACTAAAGGAACCCCCAAGAAGATGACAATGGTGCCTGATCAAAGTCTGTACAGATGTGTTGATAAACTTCAGTCCTTCCTGTGACTTGAGTTCAGAGAATGACAGAGAAGGCACCAGAGATAATCATTTTCTACCCTGGCTGGTCTAGTCTTTAGACACGTAAGGTATCAGGTTAAAGCCTCTCTTCTCAAAATGCTTTCTGAGGAATGGACTTGTATGCTGCATTTGGTGTTGGTGGGGCAGTAGGGGCTTGACAGTCTCTGGACTCCTTCACTGCCATGCTCCTCATTTATCAGTTTCCAAGCCAGCTAATGGGCGGCAACAGAGTCGAAGTGATAAGCACAGAAGATGCCAAATGCATTTAATGAGTATTATTCTATTTTAAGAACTGCATTTCCTGTGTGCACAGGTCTAATTGCTGTGTTTGTATTGCCTTATTTAATCCTTTCACAACCCTATGGGTTACTAGCATTATGCTCTCCGCTCCACAGATTAGAACTTGATGTCTTAAGAGATGAAATGTTGTCTACTGTCGTGTACCACAGTACAATATAGGGATATAAACTTTTTGCCACATTAACTGAGTCTTGATTCTATTGCTTTTGAACTGTGTGAACTTCCTCAAGTAACTTATCTAAGTCTTATATTATCACATCTAATAGAGTGACTGTGGGAACTAAAGAAGTGGCTGTAATTTCTGATTAGATAAAATGTGTAGCAGAAGACTTGACACACAGGAAGCAATGAGGTCAAGCTATAAAAGAAAATATAGCAGGTGGTATTACTGCTGTTTAAACAGTAACTGAGCTCCATAGAATCTAAGAGATTTATCCAACAGCACACAGCTAGAATATTGTACAACTGAATTGGAGATTAGAATTTCCAAGCAGTTTGGTATTCTTTCTGCATTATCCAAATTCATCCTACATTAATGAAATCCCCAGTGTTTATTTTAATTTTTTCAGAAATGGAGCTGGCACTGAGTCTCTGCCTGAGGTGCCACCATTCCATATGTGTTCTGGTTCAAGTCCCAGCTGCTCCTCTTCTGAGCCAGCTCTCTGCTTCTGTCCTGGGAAAGCAGAAGAGATGGCACCAAGTGCTTGGGCCCCTGCACCCAGATGGGAGATCTGGAAGAAGCTCCAACAATTTGGGAGTGAACCAGCAGATGAAAGACCTTTCTGTGTCTCCTTCTGTTTCTAACTCTACCTCTCAAAGTATTTTAAAAGATCATCTCTATTTTTCCCATACTATTGTTGAGCCAAGAGTGTTCAAGATTTTTTTTCTATTGTTGGACAAATGAAAGTGAGGTGCTTTGGTTTTATGAGGGTGGCAGCAACCTTAATTTCAAGTTGAGTATACTTTGGGAGGTCTTCTGGCACAGAAGTAAGAAGGACCTCTTTCAAGTTTTCAGTTCTCTGAAGTCATGGTTAAGATGATCCCTAAGCCCAGAGTCCCACTCTTAAGAGGCAGAGGAGGCAGGTCATAGTACTAGTAGGAAATCTTAGTCCCATTCCTTTAAAATGGTTACCTGACAAAATGACTTAGATTTACCCATAGATACTCATTTACTTCTTCTGCTCTGAGAAATACAGTGAAGCCATTAGTATAGTCCTGGGCAAATAAAACAGGACAGTACTTACAAGGAAAAAAATATATATGACACCTTTTTCTTTATTCTCCATGGTTTGTCTGAGTGGCATCTGGGTCAAGTAGACTGTGGTTGTGAATGTTTTATTAGATTTTTGACAGGACATACATCTAATCATAGAATAAGGCTAATGCTTCCTAATTAGCCAGTCAGTACACTACCAGTTGGGAGATCTGTGTTAAATTTAGAGTCTATGATTCTGAGATGGCTGAGAATAGCCTCAAGTTGAATCTGTTCCAGTGAATTCTCCTGATAGCTTACTCTTTCTCCAATGATGCTAGATATTTGCATAGTGACACAGCACACTGATGCTACTTTTTAGTGAGGCTCTAACAAGACTCAGCTGCAACAGTACTTTTCGCAACCTAAACCAACAATTGGGTATAAAATTGTATTCCACTGGCAAACATACACACACTGTAAGGTCAACATAATCCATTTCTTCTTGAAGACTCAGGTTTTCCACTGCCAGTCAACATCCTTAAGTTTTAGTTCCAGCAGAATGGTTATCAGTCATCGAGTTCATATCTGGGCCTTAGTTCTAACTAAGGTTGATGTTTTTGTCTTGAAACCAATGGAGAATAGTTAACCACCAATTATACTTTAGTGATACAAAACAGTTAGTTTCGTGATGGCTTGCAATTAAACATGCAGTATTTTCAGCTAGCAATCTGGCTGGAATAAGGCACACTGTCCTAAAATATTAGGGTTAATATGTATACCGTGAAGTCAATTTTCTCAAAAAGATGCACTTAAGGAAAGAGGGGGCAGAACAGAGAGGAGGCAGGATACAAATTCACAGCCAACACATTCATCCAAGAAGAAAAAATTCAGAGCTGGCCAACAGCTGGTGTGTACACAGAACACATGGCAGAGGGCAAGAATTTAGTTATGGGGTAGGTAGATATAGCATAAACCAGCTAAGGGCCATGATGTGTGGTGTGGAGCTGAGCTAGAGTTTTGTGGGCTTTTCAACCTTCCTCTTTGTGAACCAGTTAATTGGAAAAGAATGCAGGGGTAAAGGGGGTACAAGGGCGATTTATCTGCTTTCAGGCAAGGAGCTAAAATGGCTGTCACATATGTCTTTGTTCCATTGATGCCAATTTTTTTTTTTTAATGATTGGGAGAAAGGAGAGGGAATTCAGGGCATTAAAGACAAAAGTTAGATCTTAGATCTTGAAATAGTGACTCAATCTAGTAAAATTTCTTGTTACCCAAAGGTGAATTTGTGTTAGGTCATTTGAGGTTAAAGTGAGATTTCGTAATGATGCAATTTTGTGTTATAGCTCTGGTTAAAATGGTAACTTATAAAACACTGTTATATCCATTATTTTTTATGTGCCCACTTACAGTTTTGAACAAAGATACAAACACAAGAGCATACACAAAATGAAAAAATACCAGATAAGAAACAAAGTTTTGAAAGATTAAAAGAGAATTAACTCATTTTGAAGAGTAGACCATGCCTACAATGAGAAGTGATTCTGCAAGTATGTGAAATGAACTGGCTTATCCCATAGAATCCTGAGAAGACTGGAATCTTGGAGTTGAGGATGCATAGAAAATTGGAGTCAGGTCGAAGACTGACACACTTCACTTAAACCCTGCTCCCCATATCTGCATTTTCATGCTCTTTAGCTGATGATTATCCTCTTTATAATACCTCAGAAGTAGCATGTTCATCCTTTCCTGGAAAAACGTTGTCAAGCAGAGCAGGGGAAAGAGCATGCTTGTTTAGGTCAGCTTCTTAGGTGGAAACCTGTGCCGTTGTTTAAGGTTCTGCACTCAGGCCTTCAGATATTCTGCTGTGCTAATATTGAAATTCTTAATTCTGAATAGATTCCTACATTTTAATTTTTAATTGGACCCTTTTAATTATGTAGCTGGCCCTGCTGTTTGTATGAAGGAAGCTTTACCGAGGTCACAGAGAGATAATGTGAGCCCT